GCAATCTTTTACATCTGCCGCCTCAGTTTCAGTAATGGCTAGTCCTCTTACTCCCTCCAAAGAAGAGTCTTCTCGCTGTTCTTGGATCAAATTTTCTTGCTTAAAATCATTAATGCGCAAAGCCGTTAGATCTGATGTACTAATTTCTGGTAACTTATCTTCAGCTTCTGGCATGTGAGCATTGCTAAACAATAGATCCAGGCCCCAATCAGAGGGATTATTGCTCAAAGACGAAGGGAGTGAATGGGACTTTGCCATGGCCCCTCGTAACACGGCGAGAGGAAATAAAAGTGGACCCTCCTTGAAAGCCTCAAGGGCAAAATTTTCAGCTGAGGTATTCTCTATGAGGAGGGTTCTTTACAGATTCCTCCAGGCCAAGTCGTTTCCGAAAAGTAAGTCTACTGCCCTAATGGGAAATTCTTTTTTCTGATATACCTACCACTGCATATCCATCATAAGAACCTATTTTCAAGTATATTTTATGGAGGGGAACCCGAGACACGGTCCCTCCATATGCCTCTAAAAGCACGTCTATCTTGGTATAGGTAGAGTCATTCAAAAAGAGAACACCTTCCCTCAACAAAGTTAGGTAGCTCCCGGTGTCTCTATAAGACTTTACTTCAACGAGTTGGGATTTGGTAGTCCCGGCCTTACCGATAGAAAAATAAGGACCCATTGCCTCACTTACTTTCTTTTTGGACATGATTGAGGGAGTCAGTCATCTAGAAGTGGGAACCTTTTAACCAGCTGAATCTTGCTCCATCCATGGGTCCAGCTGTCCCTGGGACCTGGTAGACGTCATCTGTACGGGAACCACATCTAGAACTTTATTCTTCCGGTCTCTTTCTAGCTTGTAACAGAGGCTCCTCACATGCCCTTTCTTCTGACAGTAGGAGCAGGTAGGTTTCTTCCTTGCTTTATCCACCTCCAGGTGGGGCTTTAGTATCGAAATTTTCCCCAGCATTAGGTTTAAGAACGGCGTAAGGAGCCACCTGATGGGAGTAATTTCTGGCGAATCTCTTCTTTTGGGCCCGGGTATCGCCAATCCTAGGGGGTGTTCTCCTTACTTTCTCCGAGGGGATTTATCTCTCTTAACTGAGAGGAGATTTCATAATGATCAGCGAGCGAGGCGGAAGTTAAGACGTCCAAAGTCTGATGATCAATTAAAAACTTATGCAAGTCTCCCGACAGGGCACTATTAAACTCTTCCTGTAATATTAACTGAGTTAAGCTTTCCACAGAGTCACAGCCCGAGGCCCTTAACCACCTTTCCAGGGCTACCTTCTGACGGGCAAAGTCTACCCACGTTTGCCCAGGTAGCCGTTGTAGGGTACGGAAAGTCTGTTGGTAGCTCAATGGGAGCAAGTCATAAGTTTCCAAAATTACTTTTTTAACGACCTCATAATTCACATACTTTCATAAGGCAGAGTAGCTGTACATTTTTGAGCCACCAGTTAAAGTTGTGTGCAATGGGGTGGCCCCAAAATTCCTGAGGCCATTGCATCCCCCTTGCCTGGTTCTCAAAGGTGTGAAAATAGGTGTCAAGGTCAGCTTCACTGAACTGAGGCACTAAAGATGCTGCCTTATGTAAATCAAAGGAGAGGTTCGGGGAAACCGTCAGTCTAACGTCTCTCTCCGCTTTTTTGTCTTTCACAATGGATTTTTCTCTCTCAAATTCTTCTTCATACAGTTTTCGCTGTGCTTCTAACTGAGCCCTTTGCAGATTTATGAGAAAGCACCATTCTCTTAAAATAGTCCAGAGAGACAGGTGTCAAGGGAATTGGTGGAGAGGGGGAAAAAACCTTCCGGTCGTATCTTGGGGGCCCAGCTCCTGCTCCTCGCACGGCAAACATAGTTCGGCGACAGACTATTAGAAGCCCCTGCTTCATTTTCCCTTTCAGGGGGAAGTTTGTCACGCGACATTTCCTTGCTCCTGGCATTGACATACTTCAGCAACTAAGGAATTTGTAGGACTTCCAGGGCTAATTTGCCGGGTCCACCTGATGCCTCTAGATCGTTTACTCGAGACATGCGATCCAGCTGGGATGTTTAGACTTTGACCTCTGAATCAGGCGACTCAGAAACTTCAGGAGGTATGGGGGAAAAAAGATATTCCCTTTAATAGACCGAACGGTTTCTGTGGTATAACGATTGTTATATGTCACCCCTAAATGCTTTGCTATCCGCCAGCACGTCTGCAGTTTCAAAGTCTCTAACTTATCCAAAGTCAATTGTTAACCAGTTGCTGTATGTGAACTTCCATTGGGAAGATATTTGTCGGGATATCCCTAGGACAGGCCCCACTTGTTACGTTTTGAGCCTTTCTTTTCAGAGAGGAGACCCGTTAGTAAAAAACAGGTGAAGATCCCCTTAGTCTTTTTACTCTTTTTAAATACACACATATAAATATAAGGCAAAAAAGTTTATAATGCTTTTTCTGGTTTTATTCAGTATAATACTAAGCTTATAGTCACTTAGTTTAAATTTTAAAAAATTGATAAAATTTAGGTATACCTTTTCTTGTAAATTCATATGTACACAATCACTGTAATTTCATAATCAAGTCAAGATCAATGAATCACTAGATAGGGCGCCTTTACCCCCTCCTCAGTCAATCATATACATACAGCTAGAACTGATTAGGAATCACGAGACTTTAATAGTTGGAGAACTCAGACGTGGGGGATTGCTTCACTTAAATGGCTGACTGCACAGACGCAACCCGTCAAGTATTCCGAGACTGAAGTAAACCAAACAAAACCCTTTGGTTGATCCTAGAATCCTGGTTCAAAGGTTCTCCTTGAGGCTTGCAACAAAAGAATAAGGGAGCTCCGTTGGGTTGGTGCTTTCTCTACCGGAGGAGAGAATGAACTGCCATGAGTAAAACTCCCTAGCTTGACGTCACCTCGGAATGAGTGAGTTTGTGAAGCATAAACGACCACAAAGCAATTCGACATATAAACACAAAACATCCTACAAAATAAATCAATAATTCATGGCCAGATAATATTATAAAACTAGAAGTCTTTATTTTAGCTATGAATAAAGGTACCAGTAATATAATACTAAGTGAAAAAGCCATAATTACACACTAATCAGTTGACCCTTCTTAAATTATGCACAAAGGGCGTAACAATCCTCAATTGTATAAACGTTATAGGTAAGGCTTGGGAGGGAGTGACTAAGAGGACCTTGAACTCTGCTTGGAAAAAACTGTGGCCAGAATGTGTAGACAAAAGGGATTTTGAAGGGTTTGATGCTAACCCTGAGAAGTGTATGCCAGTTGTGGAATCCAATGTGGCATTGGGGAAGACCTTGGGGCTGGAGGTTAGTGGGGAGGATGTGGAAGAGTTGGTGGAGGAGATCAATGATGAACTAACCACTGATGAGCTGCTAGATCATCTTCAACAGCAAGAGGCCAGACCTGAGGAAACTGCTTTGGAGGAGGGGAGAGAGAAATTTAGGAAGTTGCCTACTTTAAAGATTAAGGATGTGTGCAATGTGGCTTGAAGTCCAAACCTGTTTTGATGAAAATCACCCTGACACAGCTACTGCAGGCCGTGTTGGCAACCTGTACACTGAAAATGTTGTGAACCACTTTAGGAAAGTCATCAAGGAACGAGAGGTACAGGCCTCTATGGACAGATATGTTGTGCGACAGAAGTCCAGTGACTCTTAAGCTGGTCCTAGTGGCATTAAAAGGAGGAGGGAAGTAACCCTGGAAAAGGACTTGCTACCTCAAGCCCTAATGGAAGGGGATTCCCCTTCTAAACAGTAACAACTTCGACACTCTCCCCTCCTCCCATCCCATCAATCATCACCAGATCTTCATTAAAGGTTAGTGTCAATTATTCTTTTATCATTCTATTGTTGTTGTAATTATTCTATTGCATTAAACTTAATATTTCATGTGGTAAAAAATTTTTTTTCGTACTTTTGGGTGTCTTGCATGGATTAATTTGATTTCCATTATTTCTTATGGGGAAAATTGATTCGCTTTTCGATATTTTCGGTATTTGATGAGCTCTCAGGAACGGATTAATATCAAATACCGGGGGTCCACTGTATTGTGGAGACGACACTCCCATTGGACACCAACACGACTCTTTCTACCCCTTCTATTTTGCGACCCTCGCAACACTCCATTCCTCCGCAACATTCACATTGTTCCTTGCTTACACGCTTACCATTACCCCCACACTTTGACTTTACAGATCCTAAAAGCCCATAGGTTTTATCGTTTCTTATTATTACCAGTTTTATTTCTGTACATAATGTCTTTTTTAAAATGGAATATTTGTGGCTTTACTGTTAACTCATCTAATGACTAATCTTAAGTTAATCTTTAAGTTTCCCCGAAATGCTCTGCATACAAAGGGGCTTTTGGCATGTACACCCAACTGTTATATTCCTCAGTACACTCATGTAATTTGTCAAAATAAACATCTTTATCTTTATCTTTAGGGGCAATCGAGGAGAACTCCAAGTGTTGCTCTCCCAGTTGTACCCAGTATATGTTGGGTTGCAAGAGCCCAAAATTCGTTCTGCTGTCATTCGCCCCATTTCAGGCTGCATGCTATTACATTCTTCAGATCCTTTACCTGACGAATCATTTAATGAAAGTGAACTGCTTGTGGGCGTTGATATACCATATCAGCAAGGTTTTATTCATTCCCCACTGCTTTATACTGCAGCTCGGATTTATTTACACCAATGGTTTACAGTTTGCTCTCTCTATCTTTCTCCCACCATTCATTCTGTATCTCTGATATCACGTTTTTAATTTCTTTTCTACCACCGCCCATCTTGTTGTTGGGTGATTTTGATGCTCACCATCGAGAGTCGCAGTGGGGAGGGTCCCACTGTGACTCTCTTGACCTCCTCAGAGACAGGTCATGTTTAGTCTTTGTGTTAATTACTGAAATAAAATTAGTTTTAATTTAAAATTCCACAGCAATATTTAAGCCATTTACTAGACTGGATGTCAAGTATTTTACATGAATTTCTAGTCAGTCATCCATTACTTATATGTATAAAACAATTACAGAATAATTTAATTCTTACAGATCTTTGAGGAGTTTCTTCAGAAACTACTACAGAAGCCAGCGTTGAAGGGCTCACAACTTTTATTTTTATTTTTGAAGACCAAAGATGAATTTACTAACACCTACTTGCCTGATGTCTCCATCGGTCGCCTGATTCGTGATGTTCCTCGCAAACTTATGAAAGAGCGAGGACAACACTTGGATTCCTTCATCAATATCTTTCTATCATCAACCATCACTCCCATTAAGAATAAAAAGTTAGTATATATTATACTCGATTTGTTGAGAATAAATGAGGTGAAGTGCAGAAAGTATCACTGCCTGCTGCAAGTTCTTGATCAGCTAGGCTGTATGGACCTGCATGAGACTAGCAGCAGTAGCCTGCTTGACCAGACAGTCAACAAGAAGTCTGGCCTTCATGCTAGGCTGTGGGGGTAGAGGCCTCAAAACCAGTCACAGGTAGATGTACTGGCAAGAAATTGATGCATTTGACCAAGTGTGCAGTGTATGTCTAGTTCTTAAAATTAAGGAGAAAAATAATGAGTTTATGTTATGTTGTTATGTCCCTTATTGCTTTGACAGTAAGGTTCTCACTACATGTTCTAGTGTGGGGCAGCTTTTTACATAAAGGCCTTAGTAGTCTAGGGTAATACTTACTTCATGATTGATCATCCTCAGTGTCTCTGATATCCTTTCACCAGCCCTATTCACAGGTTATTTAAACTACTACTATAAAAATATAACTGTATTCTAAATAGATATGTGCAGAATATACAATTACAGCACTCACATATTCAAAACATAAGCCTGCACACCCCTTAGCTGCTCTTCTAAGACAGCCCACATGGTGGATCTGGACAAATTGCCCTTCTTTCTTCTGGACTATCTCTGGACTAACCAGTGTTTTGACACACTTTAGTCACCCTGGGTATGATGGCCACAACTTAAATAAAACTCACCCCTGGGGCACACATAATGCCCAAACAAATAGAAAGAAGGACCCAGAGGTCCTACCAGCTTCAAGTCAACAAAAAGAGAGGGAGGGAGAGAGAGGGAGGAGCCTAGCAAAGCTTCTGCCGCACCCACCAATAAACAAAAGACTGTTGCCAAGCACAATTTTCTAGTTACCACAACTCTCCCACACCTTAATTTAATTCTACAAAAAGAAATACAACTTTATAAACTACTTATTTAAACTGTGTATGTGTGTCTATAGTATAACCTATTATATTGAGAAAAATAGGCTTCACCCAGCTGCCTCTCAGTCCCTAAGAGTGATCTTCCCTTAGGACCATTTAAGTGCTATGTCCCCATCAATTCAATATAATTAGGTATTCCAGAGTAACTGCTACTTATAAATACATGTTGGGTCCTATAGCCCCATAACACCCCCACCTCCATACGATGTCTCACAAAAGCTAGCCGTGTCCCTCAGGATACGGCTAGTAAAAAAAAAAAAAAAAAACCATGTTGCTTAAGTCTGAAGGTGGTAAGCAAGACTACTAGAAACGTCACATATTTCCCAACACCATAACTACTCTTCACTTCACTGTTATTTACAGTAATAACTTTACTGTTATTTACAACAGATTGCAGAGCTTTTTAGAAAAGCATTTTAACCATACCTACATACTAAAGGGTGTAACTATTTACAATTTTAGTGGCTTTTAAAACAATAGGCATTACAATGCAAGAATTTGCACACAATGCCCACTGTGAAAGCCTGCACCGACAGGCCCGTGCCTCTGCTGTGGTAAAACCAGCAAGCAACTGGTATTCCAGGATGGCATCATCCTGATCAGGAGACGAGAGTAGAGCCAAACCCAGAGCAGTCAGGTATACACCAGGCAGGAAACTTCACAAAACATGTCAAGGTGTCTCTCACTTGGTGGCCGAACCAAACAGTGAGACTTAGTCAGCACTCGCAATCCTTAACATGGTCAGGCACTCAAGCCCATCTTCCGAGGTTCCACTCCACACAGATCCTCCAACCTTATGAAGAGGAGGCTGACATAGAACATGGAGGGTCCAAGGGACCACAAAGGCAAATCGTTGGGCCGTTTCATACATAGAGCACACCAAGACACAACATATCACATACATTCCTGAACGTCTCATGTTATTGAAGGTTGTCAACCTCTGCCTCAACTCAAATTTACATATACACTGACCCTCGTCACTCTTTTGGCTCCTACTCGACTCCTTCACAGTTGGATGGCTGGTAGGGAGTACATGTACTCAGGCTCACCGAGAGTTCACCACTGCAAAAACAAGGAGGTCAGCACATGACAAACACTATGTACAAAGTATGCACCATGCATCTGCATGAAACATCTAAAGAGACATATACAAATGCTGAATAGCCAGCCCCAAAAATGAAAATTTTCTTTCCTGTGGAAAAATATTGACATTTAAAACCCTTTCAGGGTCCGTCCCGTAGATCTACGGCTTTACGTTCAGGGTCCAAACCGTAGATCTACGCCATTTAGCTCAGCTCACTCTGATAAACTGTGAGTGGTACATTTGGGCCTAGATATGAGAGAATACATCTATGTGGTATGTGTGCACCACATAAAACAGATCCTGCAGCACACTGTGTATAATGAGAGAAAAAAAATGAAATCATGATTTTTCGATTAAAACAGCAACTTTGCAGTGTTTTTTCGTATGTTTTTTATAGTTGTATTTGCGATTTCTTGGTCTCATTTGATAGAATGGAAGACATATTACAGAAATAGAGATGATTTTGATTTGTTTTAAGCACTGGAAATGGCTTGAAACTGAGCTCAAAGTAGCAGAAATGTTAAATTTTTTGCCGATATTCAAGAGTAAACAAACGACCTCACACGTCTAATACACGTCAGCTGGTGGGTCTAATATACATTCACAAATATGGTGATGATATTTATACAATTATTACAGTATTGCATAACAGTAAATCTTCTATTTTTTGGTGTGAATAAAAATTCATTATGTGAATAAAAAATCAAAAATTTAATTTATTTGTAAAGCCTCAAAACATAACTAATGAACAGAGGAAATGTTAGTTTAGTGCCAGGAATGCCTACATTGTTCATTCGGACCCTATTTTGAAAATGGAATATTTGAACTTTGTGTTAAATTGGCCAAATTAACAATTTCCAATCACTTTATTTTGTAGTTGAAAACAGTTGACTTGGCGATTTCTTGTGCTCAATGGATAGAATAGAAGTAATACTAGTGAAATAGCTAAGAATTTGGTTGATTGGAATAATGTAATTGGCCTAAAATGGGAGTCAAAGTCGGCAAAAATCGCCGATTCGTAAAATATCGCTGACACATCAAAATTCGCGAGAGCATAATTTCGTCAATTTTCCACCAAATTTCGAACTTTTTGTTTTATTACCTTCACAAAAAGATTCTCTACGATTTCATAAGAAAAAATAAAAAAATTTTTTTGGAAAATTCTTGGACACTGGTGCGTGACTCCAGATTTGGGCCTTGGACCCTGAAAGGGTTAAACTTAGAACAGAAGGTTGTTCATAGATAGTAACAGTTCTGCAACCTCTTGCAGTACAAAATAAGCACCAAGACATCTCTTTGCACCCCAGGTTGTGTACATCAAGTTTACACAAATACCATCATGTTCCATTCTCACACAAAAATTTAAGCACACAAATGAACACAATTTGCATTACACACATGAAAATGGTACTGGAACACAGGCCATGGAAATACCATCTTCCTGCCCCATGTTTTAGTTTATTTAAAATGTTTGTATCTCTTAGTGCATCAGTAATCAATCTTTCTAATCCTGTAAACCTTAATTGTTTTAAATGTACTTTGTGGTAGTCAGTGTTTATGCCCAGGGTGCCATCTAATTTGGGAACCATGAAGCATGGGAATGCCCACTGACTCTCACTAAGCACTACAAACTGGTGTTGGAAGAATTTCACTTCCTCCTCTGTATCACATTTTTCATACAGATTTTTCCCACACAAAAGTTGTTGAATTGGCTTAGCTTCCTTAACAACTACTTCATGGAACTTCAACTTTTCCCCATTACTGGCATCCCAAACCTTTATAAGGTTCCAAGGTGGCTGAGCCAACTCTCCAACATTTTTCTCATTAAAACCAAGCATGCATTCCCAAATTCTTTTACACGTGTTATTTATTAACCCTTAAAACTGTCCAAATGTAGATCTACTTTTTTTCAACATTTGAAAATATGTAAAAAAAAGTAGATCTTCTTTTCTTTTTTTCACATTTGAAAACGTGTAAAAAAAAAACTTTGATCTACTTTTTTTTGTTATATTTGAAAATGTGTAAAAAACGTAGATCTACTTTTGGAGCACTACACATGTGAATGTAAATTTGTTTGGACAGTTTAAGGGTTAAATACACTTTTGGTATTTCATACAGATTATTGTTTTGTAGCCCTTTACATTCCATTCTCTGAGATTCCAGAGTGCTTCCCCACTCAGCAAATACAAAGAAAGGGATCCTCTCATCCCAGTTGTTAGTATTGTCTATGCCATAGACTTGCATCATTGTCTTGAGGGTTTGATGTAATTTCTCTATTTCTCCTTGAGATGTAGGGTGATAGGCAGTTGAAAACTGAGGCTGTACATATAACCCCTTTAACACATTCCTAAATAATTTTGAGGTAAAGTTAGACCCTTGATCTGTTTGTACCTCCCGAGGAAAGCCAACATGGGAAAAGAACTTCATCAAAGCCCTTAAGACCACTCGAGCTGTTATCTTATGCAGAGGGACTGCTTCCAGGTACCTGGTAGTGGAGCAAATAATTGTGAGTAAATAATCATTTCCCAGTTTGGTCCTTGGGAATGGACCACGTACATCTACTACCAGCTTGCTGAAGGGTTCACCTGGTGCTGAAATAGACTGAAGGGGAACAGGTTTAATACTTTGACTAGGTTTCCCTATAAATTGAGAGACACATGATAGGTCTCAATATACTCTCTGACAGTCTCCCACAGCTGAGACCAGAAGAAATGCCTGGGAACCTTGGACATCACCATCTGGGGACAAAACCCTTGTTCTCCTTCCGTCGATACTGCAAACAGAGGTGACTTCTTTGTAAGAGTTTCCTCCCTGAAATGAAAACACTTATTTAATTGTAAAATCTCTTCCTCAGCAACAGCTGAGGCTCTGATCAGCTTAAGAGTGACATTTTCCTGCGCAGAAATTAATTGCACCCTAGTAGGTGCAGCCTCTCTCACACTGCTTAACTGATCCATTCTCCAATCATGCTCGG